GCTAATAGAGGCAAGAGGAAAGAAAAAAGCTCAAATCGAACGGATTGGAAGTAGCTGTAAAGAGGAGCTGTGTTAATAAGCCTGTTGTAGCAAGCTCATTTGAAAACTCTGTGGTACCTTAAAGGTTCACCTGAAGACTAGCGTGTAGTCACAGGTGTGTGTGCATATACAGTCATGCGTGTGTTCATCTTTAAGGCACTTCCGGAGGAATCGAGGAAACGGGGGCAATAAAAGAGGGGAGGACAGAGGGAATCGGTAGGATACACACGGTAGTCTGAAGGAACATATATAGAAACGAGTACTACTGAACCCAAGTTTCCTTACATTTTTATTACAACACACAAAACACCCACCGCCTCTACACTATTTTACAGAGGGGGGAAAAGGAAGAAGGAGGGGAGAAGAGAAAAACAGCAGCTTATAAAAAGGAAAAAAATTAGAACGAGGAAAAAAACAGCGGAAGAGGCAGGGAACAAAACAGGCGGCAACTATTAGAAACAAGAGTGAAAAACAGACGAATTAAAAATAAACAGCCAGGAAACTAATTTACATCCCCACACAAAAAAAACAAGCCTCCTTACGACATCAAAACGAAGCGATGATCCGTTCCAATTCGCGCTTCTCGCTCTTTCTCACGGAAGCGGAACTAAATAATGTCACAGCAGAGTGGAAAACGGCGAGCGGAATCTCCTGTGTTACTGCCCGGCTTCGTGGGAAATAGCGCCTCTGCCTTCACGGCGGGGGAATTGCTGTCGGCACTTTTTTCCCAAGAAAGGAGTTCAGCCGACCTCATCTCGAGTCGTCTCTGTTTTGAGAGTACGGAGATAAAAGCGGCTTCTCTTCTGCTGCACCTTTAAAGATGTAGGTCGGATAATAATAATAATAATAATAATAATAATAATAATAATAATAATAATAATAATAATAATAGTAGTAGTAGTAGTAGTAGTAGTAATAATAATAATAATAATAATAATAATAATAATAATAATAATAATAATAATAATAATAATAATAATAATAATGGTAATGATAATGATAAAGTTGGAAGGGACCTTGGAGGTCATCTAGTCCAACCCCCTGCTCAGGCAGGAAACCCTATACCATTTTGGAGAATTTCTGATGTAGAGAAAAGTGTATGTATGCACCTCCATGTGAATGCAGTTTACTACTTTATAACCAGACATCTGTAAATTTATTTTAAATAAACAATGATAGAATTCCAAGCGTTGTTGGTATACAAGACTTAATTTTTTTGCCTGTTTTGTATTCCCCCCTCTATGGCTTTAATACATTTTGTCAAAATAAAATCGGAAGAAGGCAATAAAATATGCTAACTGATATAGGAAAAAAATGCTTTCAGATGAGGAAAAATAGGAACAATAGGACTTAGATTTATATACCAGCCCATAGTGCTTTACAACAATCTCTCGGTGGTTTACAATGTCAGCATATTGCCCCCAACAATCTGGGTCCTCATTTTACCGACCTTGGAATGATGGAATAATAATAATAATAAAGTTGGAAGGGATCTTGGAGGTCATCTAGACCAACTCCCTGCTCAGTCAGGAAACCCTATAGCATTGGTGACGAACCTATGGCACACGTGCTAGAGACAGCACTCAGAGCCCTCTCTGTGGGCACGTGCGCCACCGCCACCAGCAGCTCATGCAGGTCCGTTAGGCCACCGCCGCCTGGAGCAGCAGCCCTGCCCAGCACAAAGGAGGCGAAGCGGCTGGCTTGCAAGCTTGAGTAGAGGTGGTAGAACACGCCCACACCCAGCAAGCCAAAGGCCAGCTCAAGCGGGAAAGCCGGATCTCCATTGGCAACATGGCCTCCCAGTCCCAGCTAGGATTGTGTGCCTCCCCCCCATCTCTGCTGGGCCTGGGCGGCCATGAAGCCAGTGGGGATCCGGCTTTCCCTTCTTGGAGTGGCCTTTTGCCTGCTGGGCCTGGGCGAGCTCTACCACCTCTATGCAGGGCCTCCTAGCCGACCGCTTTGCCTCCTTCGTGCTGGGCAGGCCTGCAGCACTGGGCGGCGGCCTAATGGACCTGCGCGAGCAGCTGGCGGCCGACCATCCATGGTTCACTCCTCCGGGTCGTCTCTACCCCCCTCCGTGCGTTAGGATCGACCCTGACCCCCCGGTACCACGGCTACCCCGAGACCGAAAGGGGTGAACCCCACAAGAAACCGAACGACCCGCACCCACATGAGATGGTGGAGATGAGCTCGAACGATCGGCCGGCGAAGTGGAGGAAACACGACCCGTCTACAGGTGCTCTGGGCAGCGGCGGCAGCCTAATGGACCTGTGCAAGCTGCTGGTGGTGCCAGCCCAAGGCGGGGCCCAGATGTATTGGGTACACAAGGGGAACATGCTCCACACACGGGCCAAGGGCAAGATCTGTGAGGGGGGTGAGGAGATGACCAGCAGCAACCTGTTCTCCAACCGCAAGCAAAAACAGATGGGACAAAGTCAGGCTGTCTGCATCATGTGCCTCCCCCCTCCTCTACGACGCCTTCTGCTGGAGGGCTGGCCTGGTATTGACAATGGGCTGTGGAGCCCCAGAGTGCACTGGTCGAGGGGCCGGCAGGCTGTGGCTGCTGATGGACACCATCGGCCCCCTTGCACTTGCTGGCCTCTGTGTGTGAGGGCTAATGGCGTCAGGCAGCAGCTGCCCCGGCCCCTGCCTCGCCTTGCTTTGCCCTGCGGCAATGGCACCCCCGCCTGGCCCCGTGCCTCATCCTGCAGGATGAGCCTCCTGCCCACCGCCCCACCTGCCAGAGACCCCCTGGATCTCCCTACCCGGCCCCCACAGGTGTCCCCCCCACAAGCAACATCAAGGTGGCCATGCCCATCCAGGCCATGCCCACCCAGTCTGTGGTGACCACCACAGCCACACCCACCCAGTGGGCCGGGTGGGCCCGAGGGCACCACAATGCTGATGTGGCCCTGGCACTTTGTGATAAATAAGTGGGTTTTGGGTTGCAGTTGGGCACTCGGTCTCTAAAACGTTCGCCATCACTGCCCTGGCTGTCCAGTCTCTTCTTAAAAACTTCCAGTGATGTAGCATTCACAGCTTCTGGAGGCAGGTTGATCCATTAATTAATTGTTCTAACTGTTAGGAAATTTCTCCTTAGTTATAGGTTGCTTCTCTCTTTGGTTAGTTCCCATCCATTGCTTCTTGTCCTGCCTTCAGGTGCTTTGGAGAATAGCTTGACTCCCTCTTTGTGGTAACCCCTGAGATATTGGAACACTGCTATCATACCCAATTCCAGCAACCATTCCTGATATGTTTTAGCCTCCACTCCCCTAATCATTTTTGTTCCTCTTCTCTATAGTCTTTCTAGAATCTCAACATCTTTTTTACATCGTGGTGACCAAAACTGGATGCAGTATACCACGTGTGGCCTTACCAAGGCATTGTAAAGTGGTATTAATACTTCATGTGATCTTGATTCTATCCCTCTGTTAATGCAGCCTAGCACTGTGTTGGCTTTTTTGGCAGCTGCAGCACACTGCTGGCTCATATTTAAGTGACTGTCCACTAGTACTCCGAGATCCCTCTCACAGTTACTACTATTGAGCAAGGTACCACGTATACTATACCTGTGCATTTGGGTTGTTTTTTTTTGCTTAAATGTAGAACCTTACTTTTTTCACCATTGAATTTCATTTTGTTACATAGTGCCTAATGTTCAAGTCTGTCAAGATCCTCTTGTATCTTAAGCCTATCTTCTGGAATGTTGGCTATTCCTGCCAGCTTGGTGTCGTCTGCAAATTTGATGAGTTCCCCATCTATCCCTTTGTTCAAATCATTGATGAAGATGTTGAAGAGCACTGGGGCACCCCACTACACACTTCCCTCCATGTACAGTAGATGCAGTTTCACTGAGGACCACACACTGGGTATGGCCAGTCAGCCAGCTATGAACCCATCTGGTGATGATGCTGTCTAACCCATATTTTTCTAATCTTATCAAGTAGTAGGTTGTGTTCTACTTTATGAAATGCCTTACTGAAGTCCAAGTAAATTATATCCACAGCATTCCTCTGGTCCACTAATTTTGTCACTTGGTCAAAGAATGCAATAAGATTTGTCTGGCATGATCTGTTTTTGACAAACCAAATGTTGGCTTTTGGTAATGACTTTTTTTGCCTCTAGGTATTCGCTGATTCGGTGCTTGATTATCTTTTCCAGAATCTTCCCAGGTATTGAGGTCAGGCTGATAGGTCTGTAGTCAACCTTGAGCTGGTCACGATCAAACTCCTGACTGTGGACAGAGTTTGCCTGGAATACTGCACTCTAACCATTGCACTACCATGGTTCAACAAAACCCTAAAAGTTTATATATTTGTTGGGTGTTAAGATGTTATTTTGGAATCCTGCTTTTCCCTGTGGAGAAATAAATTGTAGCATAAATTGTTATCCAGAAAAAGAATTATCTTCTTGAGAGCCCTAGATCTCTTTCATTGGACATCATTCCTGTCCAGACTTCTTGGGATTAGTCTAGGCAGGGGGACTGAGTTCTGGCAATGATCTATTTTTTGTGGCGGGGGGCGGGAGGATTCACATTTTTTACTTAGTTGCACAAAAGCTAAAAACTTCCATTCTGCTAAATGCAATCAAAATATTTTTGAACAAGCTATCCATCCACCCCCAATTTCAATCTCCTGAAATATTCTCACAACTGAGCAAGGTTTTGTGGCTCACAGTTTCAATACCGCATAAAGAATCTTTCTCTGATTAAATCTCTGGGAAATAAGCTTTTATGTTAGCATGGGCCTGTGTTATCAGCCACATGACCCTTATTAATGATACTAGGACTTAAGTAGCTTAAACTTGTACTGTAGGTTAATAT